CGATGTTGGGAGGAGGATCAACTGGAAGGGAGTAAATGGCAAAAAATCCTTCAGACAGATGGCATCTAATACTTTGCTCCTGCGTAAGTAATTTATGTATATGGCACATTTCTGGTATACTCTGTGAGTGTATTGTATGCATTACAAAGGATATTACGCAGGAAAAAAATCAGTTTGCACTGACAACTTTCCAGAGTCTACCAAGTACCTTTCCTCACACCAGGCTAGGTGGGCTCTCTTTTTTTTACACGCTTCAATTTTAAAATGTCGTACATTCCTGGGGTGAAGCCCACCGAAGCGGACACCCTCTCACATCAGTTCGCACCCCTGGTTAAGACACTCCCTATTTTACCTGCTGCTTGCTTTCTCAGTCCTGTAACCTCGAACTTAGATGACTCCATCTGCGAAGCTCAGCCTCGCAGTCAATTGGTTTTCAAGGATGTGTCAGTTGATACCCCTACTGAAGTTCCTGACCACCGTGGAACTTTTTGAGGTTCTTGTAATCTGAGTCTTTAAGTACTGTAGACTTTCAGAAAATATTATATCTAACAGGGGACCACAGTTCACCACAAGGGTCTTCTGTGTGTTCTACTTGAGGCTTAACATCTCTCTCAGCTACCATATACAGATCAACAGCATGACTGAGAGGACCAGCCAAGAGGTGACGAAGACCTGTGTGCAGGCCTACTTGCTCACTGGGCCTATTATCTACCATGGGTAGAGTATGCCCGAAAAGCATATCCCCAACCAGACACGGACCTGTTTCAATTTCAATGTATTCTGGGCTATCAGCCCCCTTTGCTTCCTTGGGAATCAAAACCCAGCTCCATGCCATTGATGGAGGACTGGTATCTGAATAGTCATGGTATGTTGAGGCAGGTCCATTGAACTCTGTGGGAACAGTCATGGAGGGAGAAACATCAAACCGACCATCATCGATGCCCAGGGCCCAGTCTCCGACCTGGTCAACTGGTCTGGTTTTCCTCCTGGAACCTCTGTCTCCCAGCTTGCCGCAAACTGGCCCCCAGGTTCATCAGCCCATTCTGGGTACCTGTGACGTTTTGTATCCAGCTTCCCTAGTTATTTTGTAGTTATGGCTCATCCTCCCGAGTGTTTCTGATGGTCCACCTCCACCTATGTTGCTGGATGACAATGAGGCCTATGATGTGTGTGCACTGCTCATTTCCAGATATCCTTGGGGAAACCTACAATACCTGGTGGACTGGGAAGGCCACAGGCCTGAGGAACAGACTTGGGTCCCTGCGCCTGAATATGATCGCTGCCTTTCACCGTAATCACCCAGGCAAACCCACTCCCTTACCCTGTCACCTTCATCAGCCTCCAGGTGGCGGCTGTCGAAGGAGGGGTTGGGTGTCCTGTCATGTCCCCCCCATAATAATGCCAAGTTATCCAATTAACTACAAGCCTTTTCAAACCTCGCACTGTTCTTCCCATGAGTTCACATACTAAGCGTTCCATACCTGTCTTCAGTGTAGCTCTGGCCCGACCTGCCCACTGTTCCTGTCAGTCTCTGTTATCCCTGGATCCCCAGGTTTTCCCAAGCCCCATCCATCATCCTCCCTGTCAGACTGATTCTCCTGGCTCACTGACCCTCTTCTCTGTTCTCTTGACGATGTCTCAGCCTCAAAATTTTGTGCCTGATTGCTTCTGTTTAAATAAAACAGGTCGCCTGGCATACTGTTCATTCCTGAGCTTTCTGTTACAACACCTAGCAGCTAAATTTAAACTTACGGGCAAGGAACATGACTAGACATACACATATTATAATAATAATAATACATTTTATTTTATTTCAGCGCCTTTCAAAACACCCAAGGTCACTTTACACAGCAGTATACAAAATACATAATGAAACATAATAAAATTTAACACACACAAAACTAAAAAAATTACACAATTAAAATGCACAAAAATATTAAGTAAAAAGTTAAACTGCATATGCCAACCTAAACAAATGAGTTTTTACACATGATTTAAACATGCTAATGGAATCAATCTTGCGGATGTCCGATGGGAGAGAGTTCCACAGATAGGCTGCAGAATAACTAAAAGCTCTACCTCCCATTCTAGTCAGACGAGTGTACAGTATGGAACTATAAGATGGATAGATGATGAAGATCTGAGGGAACGAGAAGGTATATTGATTTGAATAAGGTCCGATAAATATGATGGAGCGAGGTCATGAATAGCCTTAAAAGTCAAAAGCAGAATTTAAAAATGAATGCAATACGTAATGGGATGCCAATGAAGTTCCTGAAGAACAGGAGTAATATGATTAGTAGAAGGAGTTCTAGTAATGATACGAGCAGCTGAATTCAGAACCAATTGAAGTTTGTGTAAAGATTTTAAAGGCAGACCGAACAGAAGAGAATTACAATAATCAATACTTTGTGACCAAAGTATAAACAAGTATGGCAGTTAAGTTTGGTGAAAGACACGGACAAAGACGATTTATATTTCGAAGATGAAAATAGGCAGACCGAGTAACATTATTTATATGAGCTGTGTAAGACAACGTGCCATCCAAGATGACACCCAAACTTTTAACCAGAGGGGAGGGAGAAACGATGGAATTATCAATATTAATGAAACAACTGTCTACTTTGAGTAAGGAAGATTTTGTATCAATTAAGAGAACCTCAGTTTTATCACCGTTTAATTGAAGAAAATTTGAAGTTAACCAAGATTTAATCTCATATAAGCAATCAGAGGGGGAAGAGTAGAGGTGGGTTTAGAAGAAAGGTAAAGTTGGGTGTCATCAGCGTAGCAGTGAAAATTAATATTGAATTTGCAAAAAATATGACCAAGAGGAAGCAAATATATAATGAACAGAAGGGGCCCCAGGACAGAACCCTGAGGAACCCCTGTAGTAACTGAATATGACCTGGATTTAAAAGAACCCATCTGAATATATTGAGTACGATCAGAGAGATAAGATTTAAACCAATTGAGTGGTGTACAAGTAACACCAATAAAAGCTAGTCTTTGAAGTAAAATATCATGAGAAATGGTGTCGAATGCTGCGCTTAAGTCAAGTAGAGTAAGAATAGTTAATAGTCCAGAATCAGCTGCCATAAGAAGATCGTTAGTTATTTTAACTAGAGCGGTTTCGGTACTATACAGAGAACGAAAACCTGATTGAAATTGCTCATAAAGATTATTGTTAGCTAAGTGAGTATGAACCTGGAATGCGACTATTTTTTCAAGAATTTTTGTAAGAAAAGGTAAATTAGAAATTGGACGAAGGTTATGAAAATCAGTGGGATCTGAACTGGGTTTCTTGAGTATAGGAGTTATAATAGCTGATTTAAGCAATGAAGGAACAATACCAGTAGTAAGAGAAGAGTGAATAATGGAAGTAATTAAAGGAGACAAAGAAGGTAGGCAGGTTTTCACCAAGGTAGTAAGGAGAGGATCAAGCTGACAAGTAGTTGACTTTGATTTTAAAATTAGGTCGGAAATTTCAATAGAGGAAGGAAGATTGAAGTGTGAAAGAGAATGAGAGAAAGTAGTTAATAATGGTAATAAGGTCATATTCGAAGAGGTGGTAGTAATCAATTGTAGGAATTATTAGCTCAGGTAAATTTTAATATCACCACCAATATGTTTTGAAATTAATTAAATTTAAATTAATTATTATTTAATGCTGATTATTAACCAATTGTTATGCTGAATGGTCGGCTCCTCCAAACTCAGTTGCGGTATCCCCGTAAGTCTGTTAATGCGAGACCAGTTACCAGTATCGCTTAGTAACCTGGGTTAGAAGGCTCGTCCAGCGAGCTGCATCACCAGGTAATGTAACGATTGGTACCGAAGCTCCCCTCACGGCCGATGAGAGAGAGTCTTGTGATATTTCAGGTGAGTTTGAGGTTTCAGAGCGTGTAGCAAGATCGCACAGAGACAGGGACTATTGTGAGCACTCAAAGAACGGAGGCTGAAGTTGTGTAAAAGACAAGCATTTATTCCTAACTAACACTACAACTAACATAAGACAGACATTACACAACACAAACAACAAACACGAAATAACGGAATAGAAACAAACAATGTAATTATGGAAATGCAATGACAGGATTTAAAAGAGTAACCTTGAAAGGGAAATACTGTTCTGCAAAGCAAGCACAGTTTGTGGAAACACGACCCTAAAGTCATATAGCAGGTTAACAGAACAGCTTAGGTTGTTAGAATAACAGGAAGTTGGTGTACTTGGTTGCAGAGCGGGGGGGGGGGTCTTGGCAGTTGGTTGCAGAGCTGATGAGCTGATGGGATGATGGCACTCAGGAAGGCACAGCGTTTGGAACAGTGGAGTGGAGCCCCTTGGATTCTCTCTCTGGTGAAGCTTTGTCTTGGTTGCAGTTCTCTGTTCAGCTGGACCTTCACCGGAGGGCTTCTTGTGGGCTTCTCTTCTCTTGAGCTGATGGTTTTTCTGCTCTCACTGATGGTCTTTTCTGCCCCCCTTTGTTCTGAGGTGCCAGGTTTTTATGGTCAAAAGTTCATGGATAGGGATGACCAGGAATTCGACTCCTGGACCAATGGCTGGCCATCCATTTGGCGGGCTTTCGGAAGGGGGTCTGTATCAGTCCTTTTGGGATTTATGACCAGACTGATTCTCCCTTTACTGATGATTTTCGTTAAGCTGATATAACTTTTGATACATCCACTTTCTTGGTAACCACTGATCAGATTTGGAATCAGGAGTGATTGTCCATCAGTTTGACACCAAACATGCTATACCAGCTTCACAGATTCACACCTCATACCATCTGTATTAATTGATTAACAATTACTTATATTATGTATGTGACTGACTCACATCAGTATATGATACAGGTGTTTTGGGTTGAGCCGGGAGAGAGTTGAGCTTCCTAACAGCCTGATGGATGAAGCTGTCCTTCAGTCTGCTGGTCCTGGCCTGGAGACACCGCAGTCTCCTCCCTGATGGCAGCAGGCTGAAGAAGCTTTGCATTGGGTGGGTGGGATCAGCTGCTATGCAGAGAGCTTTCTTGGTGAGACGGGTACTGTAGATGGTCTGGAGAGAGGGGAGAGGGACACCAATGATCCTCTCAGCTGCTCTCACTATGCGTTGGAGGGTTTTATGGCAGGACGCATTGCAGGCACCAAACCACACAGTTATGCAGCTCGTCAGGATGTTCTCAATGGTGCCTCTGTAGAAGGTGAACATGATGGGGGCTGGTGCTCTTGCTCTTCTTAGTTTGCGAAGGAAGTAGAGACGCTGCTGTGATTTCTTGGCCATTGCAGTGGTGTTGTTTGTCCAGGAGAGATTCTCAGTGATGTGTACCTCCAGGAACTTGGTACTGCGCACTCTCTCCACAGACACACCATTGATGGTCAGAGGGGCATGCTGAGTGTGCGCTCTCCTGAAGTCAACAACAATCTCCTTCATCCCTGAGGGGCCCCTGTGTTAAGAATGATGGTGCTGGATGTTACTGCCGACCCGTACTGCTTGTGGTCTTCCGGTAAGGAAATCCAGCAACCGGTTTCACAGTGAGGTGTTGAGCCCCAGCTGGACCAGTTTTTGAGTGAGCTGTTGGGGGATTATAGTGTTAAATGCTGAACTGAAGTCTATGAACAGCATTCGGACATATGAGTCTTTTTTATCCAGATATGTGAGTGCTGAATGGAGTGCAGTGAAGATGGCGTCCTCGGTCAAGCGGTTGGGCAGATACGCAAACTGGAAGGGGTCCAAGGAGGGGGGCAGGACAGACTTAATGTGCTTCAAGACTAGTCGTTCAAAGCACTTCATGAGGATTGGAGTAAGTGCAACAGGACGGTAGTCGTTAAAACAGGAGGGAAATTACGTTTTTGGGACTGGAATAATGGTGGTGGCTTTGAAACAAGTGGGGACGACAGCCAGGTTGAGTGAGATGTTAAAGATGTCTGTAAAGACATCAGTGAGTTCCACTGCACAGTCTCTCAGTACGCGACCAGGAATGTTGTCAGGACCCGGAGCTTTGCGTGCGTTGACCCTGCTGAGGGATCTCCTCACACTGTCTGGGGACAGAGTCATCACCTGGTCATCAGGAGAGGGAGGGATCTTCTGTGCACTGGTGCTATTCAGCAGGGAGATGGTGCTATCACAGGTCTGAGGTGGGGGCTTGTAATCTGTGATCTACTGTATGCCCCGCCACATGCTCCGTGTGTCTCTGCTGTCTTTGAATCGATGGGATATTCCTCTGGAGTACTGTCTCTTAGCCTCTCTAATGCCATAAAAGGAAACCAATTCATCAGTAGAAGAATTACTATTACATTGGGGCATTGTGAACAAATATAAGAAATAAAAGCAGAGAATTCATTTATAAAATCATTATTAGGCTTAGGTGGATGGTAAACAGTAGAAACTATGACCGGATTAGACCCATTCAATTGTATGGAGATTGATTCAAACGAGCGATAAAAAGGCGTGGACACCAGTGAAACATTCCACTTTTTACTGTAAATTGTCGCAAGACCTCCACCTCTTCCTAGTTCACGGGGCTGACAAACATAAGCAAACCCCAGTGGAGCACAGTCATTAAGTTGTGAAAAGTCTCCATGTTGTTGGCAGGTTTCAGTAAGACAAAGAAAATCCAACTTACTGTACGGTCCGTCACGAGATCCTGAAGGAGAGGACCCTTGCTTGTGAGAGAGCGGATGTTAAATAAACCGAAGTTGACATTGTTGCAGTCAAGTCTGTAGTTGTCCTTTGCTGATCTGGCTAGGCTGGTTAACACGCTACGGTCGACTTTCCCAACAGAAAAGAGTGAAGGACCAAAAAGATAGTATTGACTTAGAGGTATCAATACTAAATCCCCTTCGTGATCCACGATGGATGTATTTCCGACGAGGGAGGCGAAGATTATCTAAACAATGATACAACACCGGTGGTAAAATTGTGGAATGGGAGCGCAATTGCAGAAGCTCAGAAGCCGTGTATCGAATTATCGCTACCGATGGATTAAACATGAAGGACAGAACAGTCCAGGCAGCGAGTAAAGCACAGACAAACGTCCTGCTTATCCACATAATTGCCGGTGAAAGCAGAGAAGAGCAACAGGTCCAGTGATGTCGCTCTCGGTGGCGGTGTAATAAGCGCAGTATGGCATGCACGTTCGTACTTGTGAATTAAAGATTATAATTGTGCATTGATTTGCTACTGTGATTTGCCACGCTATGTGTGGTTATAGAAAATCAATCAACACCCTTTACATTTGAGAATGAGAGTGCCATGGTATAAAAAGAATTAACATGCACACAACTCAGTATTCAGCCCCAGAACCTTAGTCTACTTGCAGGCCAGTAAGGTGAATTTCCTGAAGATGTGCACTACAGCCAGACGGATCTCCAGCATGGCCAGACGTGCCCCCACGCAGTTCCTTGGCCCGGCGCCAAATGGCAGGTATACAAAGGGGTGTCGAATGGCCCTGGCCTCAGCAGAAAACCTGCGGAATAGGACTCATCAAACCCATGGGTACTACCTGATCTCTAAGGACAAAGACAGTCAAACCAGACCTCACCTCTCCGGGATAAGGTCCTCTGGGTCGGGCCAGGACTCGGGGTGGTGATGCAGAAAACCAACGGGGATATCCAGTGCAGCACCCCTGCTACCATACAGTCATGCTTCACCTCGCGGTTAAACCTGTACAGGGGGTCAGCCAGGGACATAATAGGCAGGTCACTATATACTGCCAAAGGAGCACCTCCATTCACTCTACAAAAGTAAGGGAGTGACATCAGACCCACAGGCGCAAAATTGCATCAGAGAATCTTCTGACTTAATGATGGTATTGGCATCTCTCCAGAGCAGCATCAACACTTAATGGAGGATGCTGGTAAGACCCTTAGCCATCAATTATGATCCATTTCATGCCAATCGGAATCAAAAATAAATAAATCAATGACAAATGGGAAACAATTTAACCTAATTCACAGTAACTCAACTCACCACAAATCTCACCACACTACACACTGTTTGAAGCAATATGTTATATACACTCACCTAAAGGATTATTAGGAACACCATACTAATACGGTGTTTGACCCCCTTTCGCCTTCAGAACTGCCTTAA